TTCCCTACACTAAGAACTTTTTTAAAATTAGTATGATTTTTTACTCATAATGAATACAAAAACAATACATGAATTCATCAAAAAGCAACAAAAATTTAATGAAAATGTATAGAAGGTTACATTCTTATGTAAAATGCTTCAAATGTTATAAACATCTAAGTAGTCATGAAAAACAAGTTAATTAATTTAAATAATTACTAGTGTTATTGAAAACACATCAAAATTTTGAAGCTGAATTTAGCTTTTTGGCGCACGTTGGAAAGTCTTTTCTACATTGTTGAACTGTTAATAATAAATATTGTTTCTGATCTTCATCATATGTACCAAATTCGTTAAATTTTTCAATGAGTGCAACACATCGTTCGTCAGTATCATTAACAACACGTAGTTTTTTTAAAGTTTCGCAGCAAGTAATGTATTCTTGATCTGTTTCCCACAAATCAGGGTCGATGTCTAAAAATTCACACGTCAAATTAAACTTATCAAAAATCGTGATAGATTTTTGAGTCACAAAATTACTTATACTTTTAGACGACATTATTTCAAGCTTTTTCCTGTCTAAAGTAAATCGAGAATATATACTATTGTTCGATTTTTTGTTTTTAATAGAATCCACTATTTTTAATTTTTCTTCTCGGGATAATTTTGATCAAAAAGCGCCAAGCCTGTAAGGTTCTCGTTTAAGTACCACAAATGCTTGGAAAGTTTCTCTAAAGCAGCTTCTGCAATTTTTGCGTGATCTTTTTTATACTCTAATAATTTTTGAAATAGTTTCAAGTCATGATACGGAGCTTTAATAGCACTTGTTGCTACGAACCATGCTTCAACATAAAAAAAAAATAATAAATAAGCAAACTTCTCGTAAAGTTAATAATTCTGAAGGGTTGACGTGAAATTGTTTTCTGAACATATATATTTTTAAACTATAAATAGCTTTTGATAGCCAACGAGCATGGTGCATAGCACCAGGAGCTCTAAATTTTACACCTTTGTTTGGTACACCTCCTAAAAAAATGTAGCTCAACGTCAAAAGTTCTTGATAGTCATCTCTTGAAGTTCGATTCTGTAAAAATTAAATGTAGTTAATATTAAAATATGAATATTGTTTACTCAGTGAGAGAAACAAAGCACAACTCAGCAATAATTTTTTTCGTTAGTAAAAAACTTTACAATATTTTTACCTGTAGATGATCTTCGATGAAGGGTAGTAGATTACTTTTTTTTTTCGTCCAGAATATCTTTAATTATAACATCTTCTGTACCGATGTTATATTTTAACTTGTCTATTTTTTCCAAATTACTTTTAATTCTGACAAAAATCGTTACATTAGGACTATTAGTACTTGGCCACGCTACTGCTGCTTCATTTTTCAACATTATTTTAAAAATATGGTGCCTGCAAGCCAAATACAATAACTCTTTATTTAATTTTTTTTCTAATAGAATACACGCACCGCTTTTATCACCTTGAACAAAGAGTCAAAATTATCAAATAATTGAAATCATAAATTACTCGTAAAAATTAAATTAGCGAATGAAAATTAATAAATTTTTTGTTCCTTCAATTTTTACAAGTAGTATATATATAAATTGAATTAAAGTTAAAATTTATCAGTATTTACACTAGTAGTGTCAAAGCACATTCCCACTATATTGTCAGTAACATTCCACTCATTTAACGCTTCAAAAATAACTTTAGCTTCATTAGCTCCAGTATATTCATCTAAAGGAGGTACACCGAGTAATTGTTCCACATCCATCTCGGAAACAACAATAGGAAGTCTTTCGACTTTTTTCATTGGCTGATTTGAAAGTTCCGGAAGTAACTTACCGTCCCAGTGTACGATAAAATTTTGTGCAGTTTCCTGTATTCCTTCTTTCAAATTCCCAGCAACTGTTTTTCTGAATTTTAATCGAGCATTGCGAATAGTCGTGTAACTGATATTATAATTGTCAATATCTAATCCAAGACTAGTAATGACAGCAGAAATAATATGCATTGCACTTCGATTACTGGTTTTAGTGTGATCCAGTACTGCTACTAGAACTTCAGTCATAACATCAACCTTACGTTTCCTTTTAGCCTGTGGAAACTCATCTTCGTAATCTAACAAAGGTTGTTTTTCAGATTGATTTGATGATTGGCTACTTCTTTCATTAGACATTGAGAACTGCGATAATTTTTGACTCAGATCTACAAAAAGATTAATGTATATTAATTATAAAATAGAAGATTACGATCTCTTAAGAAATAATTATTTTATAAAATTATTGTTCCATAAGTCTTTTCAATTGTAATAGTGAGTAAAGATTATTTTGAAAATCATAATCTGTTAAAAAAGAGATGTATTGATACGCTACTATTGTAATGAACAAAAATAAAATTTTAAACTTTTTCAATATTCTAAGGATACGACGACAGAATTTACTAAGAATCACAAAAATGAATGCCAAAAAGTGTGAAATTTAACATGACATTAGGATTAATTCATTATTATGAATGCAGAAATCACAAGTCAACCATCAGTGGGAATAGAATTCTATACTTACTAAATTCAATGTTGTTATTTTCATCTTGTATTTCATCCTGTATATCTTGCAAAACTGATTGATCAGAAAGTACTATTGCATTTTCGTTTAACTTAGATATAAATGGTAAACATTTATTGCCATCATTTTGTCGACATTCTTCTAAAAATAATTGTAAATCACTCGGAAGATTCTCAACTTCACTATTATCAGCAATATCGAATAATTTGTTCAATTGATTAACGAAATTTTCCATTTGATCATATCATATACTTGGCTGGTGCCAAATGGCCTTTTATTTTTTTTCAAATTGTTACCCTTGTACGTCTACGTTGTCTCAGCAGGTAGCAACAAGTCAAGAAAAGGTTATCTATTCATCTATTTTATTTTTATTGTAACACATATTAGCATTTTAATGCATGATTTATATCTTGTTTTCCCTTAAGTGTACAAGTTTGTCATCAGAATAAACTTAAACAATTGAAATTTTAAATCTTTCTTTTCTTTTAATTTACTTAGAGTTAATTTCCATAAATTAATAAACAGTAAAATAGGCTTCACGAGGGCGAAATCAGCATGATCCTAACATCCTTTTAAATTTCTTAACCACTATTTGTAATTATAGTATGGTTTGGGAATAATACGGTATATGAACCGCTCTATATACTCGTATAAAATTGTAAAAATTAATTTTATTATCTAATGGAAACTTGTAGTTGGGTTTCGAGATTATTTCATAGCCTCTACGCCCCATTACAAACTCCGTTCGTAACACCGTATTTGTCCCCAATAAAAATTAGCAAAAATAGCAAGATGTAGCAAATGAGTCTTTCAAAGATTTGTAAGCTTTTATGTTCAGAATATCGGTTCCATGTCTTTTTCTATCGGTAATCATTTCTCATGCAATAATTTTTCAGCAATAATTTATCATTCAAAAATATATTCTGCACAATAATTTCTCGTGACTCAAAAAAATCTTTACGAAAATTTCTCATAAAAGAAATACATATCTGATTTTGTATCTTGGGGTATAACACGAACAAACGTAATCATGAAGCGCCCTTTTAACAAAATTTGAATGTGTATTGACTCAAAATTATGCCAACACACACGCACGTAATCATGGAGCGCCCTTTTAACAAGATACGAATGTGTGTTTATTCGAAAATATGCCAACACACACGCACGTAATTATGTAGCGCCATTTTAACAAGATTTAAATGTGTATTTACTCAAAAATATGCCAACACACACGCACGTAATCATGTAGCGCCCTTTTAACAAGATGTGAATGTGTATTTATTCGGAAATATGCCAGGTTAAACGAGCGTTATTTTGTTGCGCCCTTTTAACAAGATACGAATGTTTGTTTACTCAAAAATATGCTAACACACACGCACGTATTCATGTATCGAAATAATTTGGTTCTTTTTGAATTGGGGTTAGGGGCTTCGCCCCCAACCCCCACCGGGGCTTCACCCCGGACCCCACTGTTAATTTTTGCATAAGAAATTTTTGTTGGATTAATTATTGTAGGATTACTTTCAGCAAAAATTAATTATGATGTTAATAAATATTTAACTGATAATTTATTACTGAGAAATTTTGTTTTGATAAATACCCGCTTGGAAAAGGTTTAGATGTTTCAAAATATATGATTAAATATATTGATATTATAATGTGATATATGGAACGATATATAAAATCATATCTATAATTTTGCCGAAATAATATAAAAATATATATTGTAAATAAATATATTATTCTCATGTATAAACCATATATTCATCAATATAATTGCTTCATGTATGCACGATCCATATGTGTATCGGTACAACTTTTTATATATTCCCGATGAAAAAAGTTTTTGTCTAATTATATATGATCATATATAATTATATATAATCATACATGATCATATATAAGTCTATATATAATTAGATCTGATCATACCTGGTTGTTATACCCCCCCGAGTCGAAATATCAGACCCGTTTTAACCGTAAAAATTTTCAAGCTCTTTGTAGTACGATTTTCCGCTCCAAAATAAGCCTGCTTTAACCGTAAACAACCATGTTGACCAACAAGTATGGTTTAAACAGGCGCACTCAGTCCTGTTTTAACCGTAACAGTTCTTTTTTACTCAGATATATAATAATAAAAATACTTATGATAATAATAATGACAATAATTTATAACATCTTAGGACGTAGGTTCAAATTCTGATTGGACCCAAATTTTTATTTTAAATAATAATAATAATAATATTTTATATTAAAATTATTTTTTTTTATCATTCTGTCAGCAATTTTATGAATTAATATTAAAAACAATTTTATAATTGATAAAAAAAACTACGGAATGAGAAAATTCATCTATAAAATCATTATTAATTATAATTTTTACATACAATACAATGTAAGGTCATACCAGGTAATTAATAAATTATGTTAGCTGCGTAAAATTTACCTTATTCATTGCTGTTAGAATTAACAGGGATAGCAATATGTAAATCATTCCCAATTTTAATTTCAAAACAAACCGAAATTAATTGGTCGATGGAAATAGATACAAAATTATTCATTTTTGTACATTTAAACATGTATGGCAATTCATATTGTACATTATGATCACCTCTGACGAGAAACACTCTTTCACCAACAATGTTTTCGACAATGGCTTGATGGACAGATGGGCGATGATTCGGGCAATTATGTAAATTTAAGCACTCACAATAGCTCAATTTGACAAAACACAGAACAGATCCAAGGTGATATCCAGTCTGATCCCTGTACAAAATATACGATGATGAAGTTTGTTTAGATCGAGTATATCGTTCAGAAACATAAAGCTTCGAATCTTTCAGCAACCTTAAATATTCATAAATTTTCTGAGCTGGTAATAAATTTTCCAAGGCGTGCTGAACATTATTAGGAATTATGTAATTGTCATTGAACACTTTATAGCAACCTATTGAATAGCAACTTTCTTGAATTCGTTCACCGATTTTACTATTATGCTTGTGTTTCATACAAAATTCTTTAATTTTTCCTTCTGGTAACTCATCAAAAAATCTCTGAAGTTTTAGTTGTTGATTATGTGATCTCACTACCTGCGAATCGATGTGACGAGTTCCGTTGATAACATTCAAATATTGTCCATTCAAATCTTCGTATTGGAAACACTCAGTTGCATATAATGGTCCAAGAGCTTGCACACATTTAGGCAGATGTATGAGGAGATGAACGTTGATAGAGCAGTGTTTTAAGCCATATAAGATCTCGAATTCACGTACAAATTTATGTAAAAAATTACAAGCGATAATTACATCATTATTTGTTATTGAATCTGAATTAAGAAGTGAAATTCCAGCTACAAACAATGAAAAATTTTCAAAATATTCTCGTTGCATGATTCCTTCCAAAACTGGTAAAGCATAGTAGAAGAACCAATTTTTTAGCTCAGACGCCTTCCAATGTACAAGATCTTCAGTTGACCGAGGCATGCGATGTACAAAACTAGGTGGTTTAATAGACATTAACCGGTCATTAATGATATTCGCAGTATCGACCAATGAGTATGGTTCGCCTCTGTGGCTAGAATCAAACCATAAAGATAACAATTTTTTCACTACTCCTCCAAAAACACAATGCATTTGGTCTATAGCCGTTCCAACTACAAAATCAGGCATCAATTTAGATAAAGCACACGGTCCTTTAACACCCATGTGTGGTGAATTTTCATTTAGAGCTGTTTCTGCAAAGGCAACACACTCCCTTGAAGTTCGCATCTCAGGATCCGGTGTGTATCGATATACATGAGTGTGAGAATTGCCATCTTCGCCTAAGCGATAAGTTTCACCAGGCCATAAGCATGATGGACAACCATAAGAACCCATATAATAGGTGAAATTAAAAAACTGACACTTAGCTGGTAGGTCACAAGTTCCGAAGAGTAGTACAGCTTTAATATTTTTAATATCGTTAGTGCTCACAGTCACATTAATACCTCTTGATAAAGTTTTAAATTGTTTATAAAACTTATAGAAGTAGTTGTTGGCGTTGGGTTTTTGAGGTCCAAACCATAGTCCAATCATTAGTAAATTTTGACGTTTTGTCCGTTCCACAAATGGTAACTCGTTAATAGATAAGTACACTGGCCACATACTAACTTTTGAGGATTTATAAACTGGTATACCATCGGTATACCAAGTTAACGAAATATTATCTTGATTTGCTAAAAAACCATTTGCAACAAAACTTTGATACAGACTTCCATTATATATATCAGTAGTATAGTGATTATTATCTTCCAAACGAGCGTTAAAACGATGTTGCAGGCACTCGTAGAATCCTGGTCTTCGGTATAGTTCAATCAACTGTTGCCTGACAGGAACTTCGATAAAATAGGCTTTCTTGCTTAACTCACAATTCCCACAGATATCGTTTTCATTCTCTAAATTTTTTTGACAAGAGACACAATAAAAATGTTTAGTTTTTTTTACCGTCCCTTTCTTAGAGAGTGAAAAAAATTTACGAAATTTATGTAAACTATTTTTGAAGCCGTTATTATTATTTTGAAGGCAATGTAAGTTGATGACTGTGATAATGTCACCCAAGCAAGTCTGAGTAACATTATGCCGGACAAGTAATGATAATATTAACGACATGCTTTGGCTGACTGTTAACGGTGCTCCAGGATAAAGCAGTTGCTCATAATCGAAATTCCTTTCATCATTATCACCCTCCTCATCACTATCATCTTCATCTGCTTCATCCTCACTCTCGTCGGTATCTTCATTTTCATTTAAAGGTTCTTCGATTTCATCCTGATCATTCTCTTCTCCACCTTGAGCCTATAAATACAATTTTTTTTAATTACTTTTCAATTTATATAGCGGTTTAAATGATATATGCTTAATATTAACAAAATACTAGTACCAAAATGAATTAAAAAAGCTCAATAGTTTTAAATTATCACTCTATGAAGTCTATAGTAAGATAATAAATAAAGATATTCAAATATTTATAAAAATTGGTACTATTAGTTTTTTTAGTTTATTTCATGAGACTTGTAGTTATAGAGATTATGACACTGAAGTCGAAAGACATTAAAAATTTTTTTAGAATTTTATAGCAATTGAATTATCATAAAAAAAATTTTATTAAAAAGTTTTACATGTCAAAATTAATAAAAATTGTGAGTGAAAATTTTTACAAGCATTTTTTTGGTGTAATTGATTTGTTAAAAAAATTTTTTAAATTGACAGCTGACAGCTAACTTCAGTGTCATTAGAAAATGACACTGAAGTTGACAGACATTATAAAATTTTTTAGAATTTTATGGCAATTAAATTATCATAAGAAAAATTTTATTAAAAAGTTTCACATATTAAAATTAATAAAAATTGTAAGTGAAAATTTTTACAAGCATTTTTTTGGTGTAATTGATTTGTTAAAAAAATTTTTTAAATTGACAGCTGACGGCTAACTTCAGTATCATTAGAAATTCATACTTTACCACATAATCCATTTGTTCATGTAACAAATCATTGTCATTCCCGATTCCATTATTCATATCGAGATGATCATCCAATTCTCCATTTTGTCTGTTTTCATCATGACCATCATCATTGTTACTATCATTTATATTGACAACATTAACATCTAATGGTTGATTTAAAACATTATCAACGACATTGTCGTCTGGGATTCTATTATTTACATCAACGTAAACATCCAATTGTTCATGTATAAAATTATTATCCTCGTTCCGAACTTCATTATTTCATTAATCAAAAAATGCCTCCAAAAAAACGCAACAATACTAAAAAAGCCCATGAAAATAAATATGCGTTGATTTGGTGGGTGATTGATGGGCAAAAAACAATTGCTGAACTCTCCAAAATTCCGAAAGCGAAACGTCTAAAGGGTGAAACAGTAAAGTTATTATGGGAAGGAAGTGATGGAAAAAAAAAGTTTTACTTCGGTAAAATAATAGAGTTTGGTGGTAAGTATTTTCAGATATTAGTTAATATGTTAATAAAAAAAATTTTTAAATATAAAATATAAAAATATAAAATATAACAATATAAAATATAAAAATATAAAATATAACAATATAAAATATAAAAATATAAAATATAACAATATAAAATATAAAAATATAAAATATAACAATATAAAATATAAAAATATAAAATATAACAATATAAAATATAAAAATATAAAATATAACAATATAAAATATAAAAATATAAAATATAACAATATAAAATATAAAAATATAAAATATAACAATATAAAATATAAAAATATAAAATATAACAATATAAAATATAAAAATATAAAATATAACAATATAAAATATAAAAATATAAAACGTAATGGACCAAAAAAAGACGATGGATATGTCACAGCAAATAACTAAACAGTTCGAAAAAAAAAATAGTTGTGAATTAGAAAAAAAAATTTGTCAACAAAAAGCAATTTTCCCTATCGAGCAACCACCATTATTAACCAAAAACAAATGTAAAATGAATCAATTTAAACTTAAACCTGTGACAGATAAGTTGAACAAGCAGAGTGAAAAATGTGTTGAGAATGCTAAGCAAAGATTATTCATTCAAGGAAACTCTTCATCAAATGTTTATCCTGCTGGACAGTCTAACATAAATTTTAATAAAGTTAACTACATGAATAATATTGATTCAAATAATGCATTAAGTTTTTCTCACTCGTTGGTTGAGCCCAGTGATGGCGATCCATTGATTGATGAGTTAGATTTAGCTCCAATTTGGAATCCTTCTTACGTGACCAATCCATCAAATTTAAACTGGATAAGTGAGACAAACTCTCAAATAACTAGGCAAACATATGATGTGTCCAATGAAGTTCTTTCCAATGATATTTTGGAAATAGGAAGTAGTTTGGAAAAAGATTGCAACACTCCGATCTTGCAAGTTTCTTCTAAACCAAAATCAAACAAGAAAGCAAGCGTCGTTGTTCGACCTTGGGAATTACCATTAACCAGCTATGCTGCAACTACAACTACTACAATTAGAGAAGTCGCTGAAGAAGAATTGGCTGTGGAATCAACAGCTTCTGCTAGAGTCGATGAATCTGTTGACCAAATAAATGATTTCGGAGTCACAGACAAGGCACTAAGTATTGGAGCACTAGCTACATTTTTAAAAAATGAAGGTTTAAATAAATTATTTAGCTCGAGTTTTTTTTCAGTAAAATATATAACTATTTATTGACTCCAAATTAAATTATTCAACACTATGTTACTAAATCTTTAATTTCTTATTACGTCACGCTTAGTAATTAATTGTGAATTGATTGATTAATAATGAATAGGAAACATCATAACACTAAATTAATAAGTTGAGATAAATTATTTAAATTTAATTTATTATCATACATTCGATATCAAACAAACTTCGTAGTTTTAGTATTTGGATATTCTTTTGAAAAAATCGAATATATAATTAAACAAATATATTTCATTTAATTTTAAACAATAAAAAATAATTTTACTACAAAATTTTTAATCAAAAACGAATTTAAGTAAATTGAATAAATTAGTGAGATAATTAGAAACTAAAAATGATGTATTCATTGGTCTCTTGGCTGCTTAATCTTTCCAGCTTAGTATTTTAAAAAAATTTTATTTATAATTCTTTACAAATCAATAAAAATAATGTCCTCATTTTTTTTCAAGAGCAGTTATTCTAAATTAAATATATAAAACATTTTAATATTTTCAATTTTATTTAATTCCACTTTTTTTTTATTTGTTGGTTTTTATCATTACTAATCATCGGCACCGAGAAATGAAAGATGGAGTAACCACCAACTATTTAAATATTATATTTTAATAAAAATAAAATAATTCAATAAATAGTCGTATCTGAGCTTTTGCTACTTTAATCTAAGACAATTATTTATAAGAGAATTAATTTGATAGCATAAGGTAATTGTATTTTTAGTAAGAAAGACGGATCTGGATTTTATTAAAATGCTAGAGCAATCAATGGCCCGAGCCTTTGAATCACATCAAAGATATGATCGCCAATCTTCTAATACATTAGAGGTAAAATAACACAATGTTTAAATTTGCACATTCGCTATATACTTTTAATAAGAAAATTTATATTTATTAACTTTTTACAGATACCTGAATTCTATACTTCACCAGGAGAACGTATGGTACACTTCAAAATTTATTTAACGTCTTTTATCTATTTTTAATGAAAGAAAGCTCAAACTAAACATTAATAACTTCAAAAACAAAGAATAAGATAGAATTTGGATTACGAGAACCAAGTCCCAATTCTCTTGTCTATTCTACTGTTTTAGTTTTAGCTTCTTTCCATGATTAATATGAATTGGTTATTTTAATTTCAAAAATAAAATCATGGTAATTAATTTTCTTTTTTATTAGACTAAAATAAGTGAAGACTCCAAAATTTATTTTCCTACACATGTTAAAACACAAGTTGAAGAAACATGTCAAAAAGAGAACGGTAATTGTGATTGGGAGTCGATGGTCAGATTTGCACTTAAAGAGGTTTACGATGACAATATTGCAAATTATACAGCTAAAGGACATACTAAAGGGTCTAATGGGAACAAACGTCCACAAATAGATAACCAATTGTATAATGCAATTTTTGGTAAAATTGTAACATTTTATTATTCTTCTACTCCCTAGTTTCTTAATTTTATCCAAAAATTATAAATACTAAAAATGCATACAATAAATATTACTTGTTTTACAGGCTGGGTTAGAGAGAAAGTTGGCCCTACTCAAATAATTACAACAAAAATGTTTAACCGAGCGATAAATAAGTTTTCTTACAATAAAAGAACGAATGATAATATGAAACCCAATTGTTCGAATAAATCTGAGGAAGCTGACTTATGTGAGTTTTTACGTAATCGATAATTATGGTGGTTTTATTTATTTTCACAACTTTATATAATTAGAAAACAGCTATTTTTTAATTATAAAATTTTTAACGTTGAAATAGTATTTAAATTTATTTAGTTTTTAATAATTATAGATAAACTATAATTAGTAATTGATTTAATTTATTTTATTTAGTTTCGGAGGAAAATTTGCAATTTTTTAAAAAAATTGTTAAAATTGCCGAAGAGTCATTTAATATGCAGCAGAGAGAATTACTGCCAGAACGACAATTACATCAGGTATATTCGATAAATTGATAATCTTTAATCAACGAAATGAATAAAATATAGTTATTATAGTTTTATACTTATTTAATAATTTGCAGCTAGCAGATGTCTTTACTCAACCATCGAAGAATAATGTTAAAATCAGTCCTAATTATGAAGTATATTTACCGCAAGGAATATATTTATTCATCAGTAGACACAGTGAAACCGCCAGAGGAGAATACAACTGGCGTACTTTGGTTAAAACAACCTTACTGGAAATATACGGTAATGATCTCAAAAAATATTCGGCTAAAGGGACTCGTGGTGGCTGCCCACCTATTAATGTAGAATTATATCGTGCGTTGTATGGTAAGTCATACATTTATTTACATTACTTTTTATTTACACAATTTTTTGCACTGTGAAAAATTTAAGAGACTCCTATTTAAATATTCGTCAAGAAACTTGTTAAGATTCAAAATCAGTGTGATTTTGTCAAAGGATTATCCTTAATAATTTTTCGAGTTTTCCAGTGAAGATTTTCATAAGATTTAAAACCAATAAATAGTTTTATAAAAACAAATATTTAGTTGAATCGATTGATTTTAGATTGGGCATCTTCGCAAGTTGAAAAAATTATTCTGGAAGATGAGTTCGTAGATTACATCAACGACTTAACGGCTAATAAGAGGAAAGGGAAGAACAAGTAATATGTAGGAATTACGTTAACAGAACTTCTATTATAGAAGTGTATTTCTTGTCATAAATACCTACTAATTACTGCAAAAAAATTATCATCATCATTTAAATATTTTTATTATTAATATTAAAATATAAATAACAATATTAACAACAAATCAAAAAATAAAAACAACAAAATTACGAATAATAATTCTTACGTAAATTTCTTTATAATTATAATTGTTCTTATTATTATTATTAATAAAAATAATATTAATCTATTTTTATTTAATATTTATTATTTATTTTTATTAAAAAAAAAAAAATCGG